CCATTCTGCTGGGCCTGTGGGGGTGCTGGGCAGTTCCGCCCAGCAGCCCCGCGTGTGGGTTGCTTAAGGCATCAGACTGAAAACCATGGTTCCAAGCCACCAGCCACTGGGAGGGAGAGTGCCAACCGCCTAGGGACCGTGGGGGCAGTTCTGCCCTGTCCTGCAGGCCACCAGGAGCCTGGCCTGCCCGAAGTGGGGGTGCTTACCGGTGGGGGACGCCTGCTCCTGACCTGGGAGACCCGGACACGGGCACAGGGTCCTGTCTGAGTGCATCACTTACCTTCCACGGGGCAGCCTGAGGCCGTCACTGGGCCGTGACCCAAGGGCATGGCTCTGCCTGCCCACTGTGGACACTCGCATGACACTGACCAGTCTGCAGAGTCCAGCCTGGGCAAAAAGGCCTAGCACTCTGTCCCTGAGACCTGGGCAGTGTGGACCCCTGGTGAGACACGGCAGGGAGGCCCTGAGCGAGGTGGACCCTGCCCAGCACCTCCTCCTCCTGTGCCCACGGGGGTTAGCATGGGTCACTCCAGCACTTCTAGGCCAATGGTCACTTCTGCCATTGCAGTGCCTGGAGAGGGAAGTGCCCCAGAACCAGTCGGGGACCCTGCAGGCGAGCCCTGAGTTGATGTGGATGGGGGTGGAGGGTGAGTAAGTGCTGGGCCCTTAACCACAAGATCAGCAGTTCGAAACCACCAGCCACTCCTCCGGAGAAGGCAGGGCTTTCTGCTCTTGTAAGGAGTGTCAGTCTGGGGAGCCCACGGGGGTTCTGCCCGGCCCTCTGGGGTCGCTGAGTCTGAGCTTCAGATGCCACCACGCTCGTGGTGCCTCCGGGGACACCTGCGGCAGGGGAACCCCGGTCTCAGGGATCAGTGGCCAGAGAGCCTCCCCATGCACCAGCTGATCCCTACAGCCCTCAGGCCTGGCTGGGAGGGCGGGGCTGGACACCATGGGCATCCGGTGAGAGAGCCCCGCTGCCTGCCCTTCTGAGGACCTGGCAACTCTGGCAGGGTCCCAGGAGGTAGCGAGGTCCCACCTCCCAGCTCCCCTGTGCAGCTCAGGTGCCCACCCACAGGGGCAAGTGCAAGCAGACAGAGCAGGCGCTCGTTCATGGTGGGCGCTCTGCAGGGCTGAGCCCCTGCCAGCGTCTTGGTGGCGCTGCCAGCTCAGCGCTGGGCCACAAACCCCGCCAGCCGCCCCGAGGGAGGAAGTGGATGGAAGGCGTCTGCCCCCAGACGGTGGGCCATCTCAGAACCCCCACACTGGATAGCACAGAGC